ACAAAAAATTTCCGGGTCAGCCGCAGGTGGCTTCAGCGTCCCTGTCCAAAGCTCCAGGAGAAAAAGCGCAGGTCAAAGTAAAGACGCCGCCACCTGAGGTGAAGTTGCCATCTCCAACGCTGATGGCCTCGAAAGCTCCAGGTGGAAGTACGCACAATGCTGAAGGTGAAGGGGAAACAAAACAAGCAGGTGGCTCTATAGATGGAAGTGGTAAAGAAGAAATCCACAGAAACATGGGTGAAGCCAAGTTTTTTTGCTTGCTATTCAGGAAAACCGACTTCCGACTGCAGGAGCTCACCGCAAAAGATTTGCTTGAATTTGGAAAGGCTGGCGTAGGAATCATTTGCCGTGAAAATGAATGGGGCATAGACATCGTCATCGTTGGGTTCTTTGGTGACACGTTTAGCCTGGAGACGATGACACTCATTTTGGTGCAGGTGAAACACACAGAGAAACATGATGTTGATTTAGCATGTGCTAAATGCTCTCCGGAGTTTTCTCAGATGTTCAGTAGCAGTGCAGGGCCTCAAGGTTGGACTGGGTTGAAGGTGCCATACGCCAGTCTGGTTTTGAATGTGGCCCATGTGCCTTCAAGCAGTGTTCGTTACAGAACTAGGAAACTTGTCACAGAAGCATTGCTGAAGAAGACGCCTGCAAATCATTCTATGGCAATGGCTCTCCATGACACTCATCCGGAATGCAAAGGCCTTCAGGAATGGACAAAAGGCTATGATGGGGATAGATCACGCCCAGTATTCAAGTCATGGGAACGGTATTTTGCTTCAGATGATCGTCTCCAACACATTGTGGTCATTGAAGGTACGTTTGTGCTGTTTCATTTTTAATCACTTGATGTTATCTTTTGCATTCCAGGTTTGGATGCATTCTCATCCAAGGACAAAGTGAAAGACCTGGTCGACATCTCTCTGGATTCTACTGCAGACATGAGGAAGCTAGAACAAGTTCAGAAGACATATGCACATAGAATGTTCGGATGGGTTAAGAACACGGCAATGCGCAAGTGTTTGGAGCCAAAGCTCAATGTGAAAAAGAGTAAGTAAAACTGAGAATTTTTTTGAGAATAATCTGAAATTTTTTCTCCATTGCAAATGTGTAGATGGAAGTATCTTATTTGGTGAGATTTAAGGACTTTTTGTAGATAGAGCAAGTGCCAATATTTTAATTATTAAAACTGAAAGATTCTCTGCATGTTATATTATTGAGGTTTCTGATGGTTTATGTTATAATGGTAAAATAAATAATGATAATTGATAAAAAAAATTTACAATTTTATTTATAATGTGAGGTCCAAGTGTATGGCTACGATGCCGTATACTTAAATATGCATAATGAGATTTTGGTAGCCGTTGGATTGGTTTCAATTCGGACCATTCCTTCCTATATATAAGTTAAGGTTTTTGGGCTAATTAATATGCACATTTTCTATATTCCCTTTCCATATTCCATGCACTCATATTAGTAGAGATGAGAGGCATCTTTAATTGTCTTTGAGGAGTGTTTAGATATGGGATTTTGGTTTAAATATAATTTTTGCATTGTCTAGATCTAGCTTTTTCCATTTTTTTTCTTTTGTTTTTTTTTTTCAGGATTTTAGTTTAGATCTAGCTTTTTGCATTGTATAAATCTCCCTTTCCTTCTAACTTTTTTTTTTCATTTCTCTTTTTTTTGCTCTTTTTTATGGCAGATCAACAATCTCCTCCTCCTTTGACTTTGGAGTAGCAATTGGTACAATTGCTTAATCTTATGCAATTGTAATTAAACAACCAAACTTAGTTAATGGTAGCATTCACAACACATGATACAATTCCTCCTACTCTTGGTAATCCTTATGTTTGGCTAGAACGAATTCTGGGGATAATATGTACCATTAGTTCAATCACTTCACAGTGATTACCACATACCATTTTTGGGCTGATGCTCAATGTTTGCATGAGTTTCCTATGTATTTCCAAGGGATGGCATTGTAGTGGTATAAATGGTTTGTGTAGCCACTCGTGGGGATTGGAGTGTTCTCCCAAACATTTTCAAATGCACATTTGGACATGCCGACAATTGTGATAATGCCTTCCAACAATTGTATTGCCTTCATCAAGAGCCATTTGAGTCAGTGATGCAATTTAACATTTGTTTCCGAAACCTTTTGCTTTGTGTGGAGCCAAATATATCGAAGCGGATCAAGTTAGAAATATTGTGGCCAACACTTCATCAAGATCTTGTCAAACTTGTGCATGCACTTGCTCTAGCCATCCTTGACAATGCTCTTCTTTTGACACAACGTTATGAGACGTCGTCTCTTTCACTTTTCGCTATACATCCTTTAGCTCCACTTCTTATAGGTGATGGTCCTGTTCCAATGGAGGTTGATACTGTTGCTGCTTGAGTCCAAAGACAAGGGTGAGGCCGTGGTCGTGGCCATGATGTTCATTATTGGGCGTGTGATGAAGTTGGTCACACTTATCAGTGTTGTTAGCATTTTCCAGATTGGTGGCCACCATTTCCTGGGTGGAGAGCTTGGTGTCAACAATGTCCTGTTGGTGTTGTTGTAGTGGAAGGTTTGGACACCGAGATGCATCTGGGAAACAAGGAGTCATGCTAGTAACGGAAGGACCTTGTGTGAATAAGTTATTGACCCCTCTATCTTTCTTTCGGGAGTATGGTTCACTCGACACTAGTTCATCTAGTGTTTACTTTCCAAGCTCATTTTTATAATAAGCAGTCTCCTATTATTCTCTCTATGTCGGTTGATACAGGTTCGAGTTCCTAGTATGGATTAGTTGTAGCGCAATTATGCCAAGTGTGACTTTGAGGCTTCTCCTTCTTATACTTCTTTATATTTCATCCATTCCTCTCACTTCTATACCTCTTCGTCCCTCTACTTCTACTTCTGCTTCCATTACTTTTGTCCCCCCACTACTTCCTTCTATATTTCCATTTTGTTCTATTCTTCCCTTTTCTGATCCCTTTGACAATCTTTGTATTGTAGCGATTGACTGACTCATGAAAGAGTATGCCGATTTCTTTGAATTTGACCTATTATCTAGGGCTAAGATTGCCACTTGTCATCCGATTGAGCAGTGGATTTGAAGGCTTTAAGATGGGTTTGAGAATCCTACATCATTTACTGATGACTTACCATTCTGGCATTTACATTTTCAATATCACTTTGAAAACAACCTTTTTTATTTTGTGGGGACAAATTTTGATGATCCTTTACGGCTAGTGGTGTTTTTTGTCTTTATTCCATGGTTTCTCCATACCTATTATGATTCTCCTATTCTAGGCGAGCATATGGGAGAGGTTTTAAATGCTAGAAAATTTAGGGCACTCTATCTTAGGGTTCTTGACAGGGGAAGAAATGCATGCTTGCCCTAACATCCGTTGGATTGAGAAAGACATTGTTGTGTGACCGAGAAGCTGTACTAGTCTTTCTATTGGCTGGAGATGTGACGTGATATTATCTGGTATGTGCATAACTGTGTTTAGTGCCAAACTCGTAATACTCCCCCTCATGCTGCAAAAGGATGGTTGGAGTCAATTGCAGTTTCCCATCTGTTTGAGTTGGACCAACTGCTGGCAATGAATATGTTATTATTGCTTCTGACTATTTGATTTGTTAGGTGGAAGTTTGTGCTCTTGCTAGTGCCTCTACAACTGGTATTAGATACTTCCTCCTCAATCGAGTGGTGTTTCAACATTTTTGTGCAGATCAGATTCTTTCGGATAATGGTCCCGCATTTATGGCTAAGGTATTTCATGTTTTGACATCTCGGTTGGGGATATGCCACACTTTCATGAGTGCTTATCATCCATAGTCAGAAGGTTTGGTGGAACGGCTCATTCAGACATTCAAAGGAATGATCGCGAAGTACGTGAACTTTCAACATTTGGATTGGGATGGTTATTTGCCATCTCTTCAATATGCATATATCACAAGGGTGCAGAGTTTTATTGATGCTTCACCATATAAACTTCTATATGGTTATGATTCAATATTACCAATAGAGTTGGGTTTACCTTTGCGATTGCCATGAGCTGCCAATGCTAAGTCATGGGATCAGTATTTGACGAGCATTCTTCCACTTGTCCAAATGGACGATGATGGGAGTTATAGCACTGTTGTTGTCCCACTTGTATGTGGCCTAAGTATTCAACAAACTCTACTTGCAAAGTACAAAGTGGATGACTTGGTGTAAGTCCATTTTCCTCATCTTATGGTACATAGTTTATCTAAAGGGCTCTTTGCTCAATGGAAAGGACTGTCCATATCAAGTGTTGTGGAAAATTGGACCGCAAGTTTATGAGGTTTGGCATGATGTCCATCAGGCTGATCCTCCAGAAATTGTGCATGTACAGCAGTTGAAACGTTTCATACAAAGGGATTAGGAACAACTGATACCACTTATAGATCCGCCAGTGCCTCCTCCTGATGTTCCTCTAGATCCCGGCCCATCTACAAGAGAATGGATGGTCTTCCATTATTCCAAAAGGAGGGGATGATGTGAGCTCCAAGTGTATAACTACAATGTTGTATACTAATATTAGTGTAGTGGAGTGGCTCAATTCTTTAAGAATACTTCACATAAATGTTACTTAGTCCTGACTAACACCCTCCAAATTGAGAATGTAAAGGAGAGCTCATCAGGATTAGTGCCACCGTTGGCACCCCCTACCTGCGATCACCACCTTTGCCATTGCCATCACTATCACCGAGGCATGGACAAGTGCTTGAAGGGAAGATTGCCACTAGTGCTCGAGAGGAATGATGATGCTGCCAGGACGAGCATGGTGAAGGACACTGCTACTGCAATGGATCCCCATGGAAAGAATTTCATAGGCGTGGAGAGCTACGGGATCAATCGATTGATGGAGTGGGCTTGCTAGAGAGAAATATTTTGCTAGTTCAAGTGTCATATGATATGGACAACGTACTTTTACTTGCATGGCTGCCACATGGCAAAGCCATAAACCCTAATGGTGCTATGAGTGCGGGTGCATCACGTGGCAGTGGGATTCTCCCTTGTTCATCTCGATTCGAGGCTGTTCTTCCAGAGATCGATTGCCAGGTTTGGATTTAGCTGCATTGCCACTGTGACTGTGGGATTTTGGTAGCCGTCGGATTGGTTTCAATCCGGACCACTCGCTCTTGTATATGAGCTAGGGTTTTTGGGCTAATTAATATGCACATTTTCTATATTTCCTTTCTATATTCCATGCACTCACAATAAAATATTAATTATATTTTAAAATATGCATCAAAATTTTTAGGTAAAACTTTGGTTGAAAGTATAGAATATCATTTCAACACTTAGATGTAAAATAGAAAAGGTAACATATTCATAATTTTAAAGAAAATTGGGTTTAAGAGTTAACTTTTGACATTGCTAGTAATGAAAGTTATAAAGGAAAGGATATTGAAGTTGATAGTAATACAAATAACTGTTATATAGATGAGTGATGAGCGATGTAGTGATGTAGTTGCCACTAAAGTATCTTCAAGTTTATCATTACATCCAATTAGAGTTTTTATTAGTAATATATTATGGATTTAATTTATATAATATTGTATTTTAACTATGACACTACCAAAATATAATTATTAAACAATAAAAAAAACTTTAGTGACTATTATACACGAAGGATCAAACACATAAATCAAGGACAGAGGATCAAACCACCACCACCACCATCAACAAGGATGAAGGATCAAACACGTAAATCATTTTTTCTTTTTGGAAAGATGATTTGCAATGAAGTGTTAATTCATTGCTTGTATTCACATTATGTAATCAAGAGCTCCTATCTTGATGCATGTTAATTATAATGGTATTATAAGTGGTGAGTCATGGGATGGAACGGTGAAGCACTAAACCATTTTAGCTAGGTTTGCTATTGGAAAAATTTGGTTACAATACTTAATTCTTTCTGAGTAACCTTACTATTACTCTTTGAGTAGCTTGGTGTTAAATTAGTTTTGAGTTTGGTTGAATAGAAAGTGGTATGAGCTTGTCCATATTGTGAACAAAAGTTAGTGGTATTGGGTGTTGTAAATCTCGATCAGTGGGGTGTGGTATTTATGTTGCATTTTATCGAATAGAGTTAGTATTTGATATTCAAGTAAAATTTTGAAGTAATAATGTAGACTTGCTTATGGTGTTGCTCAATTAATGATCAAGTCATTGTGATTTTTATATTATAACCATGTGATAGTGAATAATGTATTTACAAAGTTGCTTAGTTAAATGATGATCAACCCCAAAGTGGTTGATAGGGAGGCTAATTTACTTGCATGTAATAGCATTAAAGTAACTTTGACTAAGTTTTTAATAGTGATTTGGAATTTGCCCATAAGGTGGTAGAAAAAGTTGTACCATTCATTTGCTATGGCTTATTGTTTTATCTGTTAACACTTGGAGTAAATTGTTGGATGGAAAAGGTGTGTAGTTGAAGCATTGGCATTGTTAGCACCTGTGTTAGTGGAAGTGACATTATTATTTCAAGTGATGAGGAATTTTCCTTAAAACTTAATTTTCCATGTCATTTTTCTTATTAGTGTTTTGGCTTCACATTAGATCTTGAAGGTGGTTAAAGAAGAGTCTTAGTGCAATGTGGATATCCAAAAAATACGTTATTTGTGATTGAATCTTGGATGTTTATTTTGCATATTGCAAATGTCGATGTTGGATATTAGAAAAATAGGCAAGGTGCTCAACTTAGACATACTATTAAGTCATGAGAATTTATGTTAAAATGAACCTATGTGAAATTGTTAGTAGGAAGAAGTTGGTTGAGTCTTGAAAATTTGTATTCCTACGCTTAGAATTATTCTTTCTCTAGGATGGAAAGTTTTCTACAAATTTTTTTAGACTTTTCCAATGGTTGATTTGTTGATCATTTTGCTCGAAAACCATTTTGTTTTCGTAAGCTAGTACAAACTAATGAAAAGGTTGGAGTTAACTTTTGTTAGCTTAGACTTTAATATATAATTTGTATGATGCAATCCAAAAGAGATGCTAACTTCTTTGGGCTAAAGCAATTGAGTTGAATAGAGTCTAGAATTGGTATAAAAAAGTGGCTATTGCACTTTTCTAAAATGGTGACCTTTATACCTTTCTTTTGTAGCATTATGTTTGGTGGCAAGTTGCAATTTGCATTTCATTAAACTCTATGAGAGTAGTAAACTCTCACTGATCTTGACTTGGTCTTAGTAGCTTTGCACCATAACTGAGGATAGTTATGTTTAGCTTAGTTGTTTGAAGTTAAAATGTTAGTATTTGCACTATAGCTTTGTTTATGAGAAGGTTGTGTACCAATATGAGTCTATTTCATAGTCTTCAGTTTAGTTTCAACTAAGTGTTGATTATGCATAATTAGCATCTTCAAGGCATGCTTAGAGCTATTGGCTAAATGCATTAGCAAGCTTATTGCGATTGACTTGGATTCAAGTGGTCATTTAATTCGTGCTTGTTCATGAACCTTTATATTGTATTTAGGGTATTATGTTCATTTTGAACAAGTATATGACTCGATGATATGAGTTTAGTGTTTGGGTTTTATAAAGGCAAGTTGTTAGTTGTTTTGCAACTAATGATTGTTGATAGACTTTGTCAAGGATCATTAACACTTGCTTCGCTTGATGAAAATTTATTAGTGATAGGTTTGCTTTACTAAATGATGTTGTGGAGGATCATGTTGTTAAACTTGCATAATTTTTCTATATTGGCATATTCCACCTTTGTCAATATTATTTGGTTGCATTTAGTCTATAGTGTTGGATTTCATTGAGTTTTGGATGTGGTGAATCACTCCTTGATGATATGTTATCTATAATTGAGTATAGTTGAGGGATTGGTTTCAGATATTGAGTAAAGTATCTTTGACTTTGGTTAACTTGGTTGCTAAAAAGCTTTGAATGGTGATTCGCTTTTGCTTTTTTTTAATTTTGTTTTGGTGTTAATGGTATTAAAGTGATGCTTGGTCATTAATATTGTTGATGTTGAGATTTAAGTAAAATGAAGTGTCTCTTTATAGGATTGATATTGAGTTTTATTAGTCTTAATATAAATACTGTTGATGTTTGGGTGGTAGCTTTGTATCATTAGTATTCTTGCATTTTCCTAATTAGCAATTATACTGTATAATTTCATTATGCTTGGCTTTTGGATTAATGCAAACATACTCTTATTAGTTTTTGCATTATGAAAATTAGCTTATAGATATGTTAAGAAGGATATTGTGGGTTGTACCATGATTTCCTTTTTAGTATTGAAGTTATTTCATACTGTGGTTCTTTGAATTTTATGCTTGTTAGAAGTTGTTAGGGAAGACATTTTAGCTTATTAGCTTCAATATTAAAGTTAGTTTTGACATTTGGCAATCATTAGTGATGATTGACTATCATCTAGGATATTTGGTTATCCTTGTCTAAGGTTTTACTTGATTATTATTAATATAAAATGATTTACTATTCTTTAGGATGGTAGGATACTTTCAATGATGATTATGTATCTCTTTATTGATTGGATGATTGATGATCTTTCATGATAGTTCATTATTATTTTTAATGGTTTATGGCTCTTCACAATATCACATGTTCTTGTGGTTTGCTTTGGATTGATCTCTTAGGTTTGAGATATTGATAGAATATTGCTGATGCTTGCTTAAGCAACTTGAGTTTCTTAGTATGGTTGACTAAAATCTATTCAAATTGGCTGATGTAATGGTTGGCATGAATGAGTATTTATTTGATTTGTGACATTCATTCTATTTTATTAATTATTGCTATGGTTGGTTTTGATAGGTTGGATGTTATTTCCTTTAGGCAATACATTCGCAAGCATTTTGCTTGCTAATCGATGATACTTTGTGTTCTTTGAATTTTTTTTTATAAGTTGTTTAACATGCTATTTACAATCTTTGAAAATTAAGTTTTATCATTAAGTTTTCTTGATGACACACTGTCTATTGAATTTTGTTGGATGGTAAATCCTATGTTTTCCAATTAAGATGATCTTGATGGTTCTTGTACTCTCATATTAGTTTATCGAATGTTAACTTACTTGGAATACTTTTGTGTTTTACTCTAAGATTTATTCACTGATAATTAAGTCTCTCAAATATCATTGTCTCTGACTTTGATATTGTCCATCTATTTATCTTTGGGTTTGGGCTAATATAGCCAGATTGGCTTTGGCACTTCATGTACATGATGAAATCTCTAATCATGGGGTAGTTATTGTTAATTGGTCACATCACTCACCTCTCTCTCGATGTTCCTTATTTTCATTTTATAAGGCCGTGACCATGTAAACAACTCTAATTGCCTATTTATAGTAATTTATCTAAACTTTACTAACAGGTTTGGTTTCTTTGCTCAAAAGGGTTAAAACCTCTGGGTTCTCTCTCTATATCCTTGCAGGCAGGGCCATATCACATTTTTGTAAGCTGGGTGACAACCAAAATAGCAAGGGTGGTTAATTCCATTGATTATTTCCTTGTCAGTGACGGCTAGAAAATGTTTGAGTTAGTAGCACATTCACATTAGAGAAAGAGGTTGCCTTATAACTCATTTAAGTTGGTGCATTTCTCACATAGTGTGAATATCATTAATTTTTTTTGGAGTTGTTTCCTTGGCAGTGTTCTAGACTAAAGTATGCATCAATGAGGACATCAATTTTCCCTAAGGGGGGGTAGAGTGTTGCAAATGTGACTTTGGGTATTGAAAGCTACTTGTCATTAGTCCTTTCATGTATGCTGGCCGGGATCGCCATGATAATTGTTATACCATTTCTTCATTCCTACTTGTACCATATCAAAAGTTAATTAAAACACGAATCACATGAAAGGGACGAACATATGGTAGAATCCCTT